GCCTTTGTTCAGGAGTGCTGTTACTGTAGAACATAGAAGATGTACTGGCTTGGAGCAGAAGAGCTGACCAAACCATCATGAAGCTGATTCCCTGTGGTGTGAACATGCCCTGTCCTTCCAGGGTTCCTGCAGCACAGCAATAGCTGCCTAATCAGAGAGGAAAATCCTGCTGATCCCTCCCAGCAGCTGGAGGACACGTGGGGCTGCATCCCTCACATGGTGCCCTAGAGAAGGCAGATGAGGTTAGTCCTGGGGAAAAGCCTACCTGCTTGCTCCATCCAAAGTGCCTGGGATGCAACTCACAGGGCTCAAAAAACTCAGGAGTCTTAAAAAAGATCCATAAAGGAGCCTCTTTTCCTTTCTGTTATGCTCTTTGGGGTAATTCCTGCACTTAACTGTGCAGTTCGTGCCCTCTCCCCACTGTCCTTTCTGGGGTTAATGTTCCACCTGCTCTTTCACTGCCCCGGGTGTTCAGCCATTTAAACAGATTTATTCCTTTGACTTTGGAAAGGGCTCCACCACGTTTCCATCTGTGTTTACACTCAGGGCAGGGTAAATTTCTCCTCTGAGCAGATCTGTTCCTTACCAGCTAAGGAATCCAGCTCAGCACAGGCTCAGACAGGAAGGCAGAGCAAAACATTTCCGAAGCAGAGCTCGCCTGGGAGCTGTGCTACGTGCCCACAGGAGGACAGAGACCTCTGCCAGACTCCCTGCATTGTCAGGCTGTGCAAAAAGGAAGTGCAGCTGGCCCAGAGCCACTGCTCCTGTGGCTGTTCCCAGGGCTGGCTCCCCAGCTCAGCCAGCAGCACCTCCCACTTATCCAGGACACTGAAGCCAAATCAGAGCAAGTAACGTGGGACTGAAAGTCCCACCAAAAGATCTGTCCCACAGTCAGCAAAACTGTAGGAGGTGGAAAGACCCATTTGTTAGATCTTCATTGCTCCTTTCTCAGGGAACTCCTCTCTCTTTTCACCCCTGCTCCTAAAGCCAGACTGTGGTGCACAGATGCAGAGTTTATAACTGCCTGGGCAATCTGTGACACAAAAGACAGCCAGCAGCTGCCACCCAGATTTATCACTGTGTTCACCAAGGCTGGGCCAGCCAGGACCTGTAATGACCTCCCAGGTGGATCTACAAATAGCATGAGCTTCATCTAATTCCAGCAAAACAGATTTTTTGAGGCATTGGGGGGCTCACTGCTTTGCCCTAAATTTGATGTCAACCTTTAGGATTTGAGGCAGCTTGTTGGTGATGTCTTCTCTATACACTGCCCTGCTCTGTGTCCTGACATGTCTTGGTCCCCACTTTCAGATGCCTTTTAAATTACAGCCAGCATCCAACCAGCCCATCAAACACTTATATCTCCCCCCAAGGCCAAAGCCTGGCTCCATCCTGCTAATATTGGTATTAGCAACAGGCCAAAAACTTCAGCATTGCCAGGCTGAGCACTGGGGCTGACCAAAACTCCCTGAAATGCATCCCTGAGCTGCAGACTGCTCCTGACAGTCCTGAGCTCCCTGCCAGCATCAGAAAGGACAGGGAGGGTTTTTTCCTCAGTGTTACACCCTGCACTCAATGCAGATGGATGAGCCAATAAAGATGATGTGATGTCTACACAATTGCTTCAGGATGCATGAAATTCAGCTATGAACTCCCTCCCCACAGCAAGACAGGACATTCAGGTGGCCCTGGAGAGGATTGCAGGGTTGTCTCCATCTTCCCAGGAACAGCCACAAACATGAGCTAGGCAAGGAAGGGGAATGGGAGAAGTCAAACTGTTGGTGAGAAGAAACCTCAGCTGAATGTAATTCCACAGCAAGGAGATAAGAGGATGTGATCCTGCTCAGCACTGTGAGCATGCAACAAGCAGGCTGGGCAGCCCCTAATGCCAGCTGTTAAATGATAAATGCTCTCAAGCTTTGCAGAATCTGGTTTATTGCACAACCTGAGCTTGCATGGGAAAGGAGACCCTCTCCTGCTGTTGTTCTCTGCTGCAACAACCAGTAAGATCAATTAAACTTCATGAAAAACAAGCCATTATCAAAGCCATCCCTCACCAAAAATTCAAGAAGGAGCCTGCCTGGAAAGATGTGGCTTGAGGAGCCTTCTGGTAATACGCATGAGTCCCACCCTGGTGCCTTGAAAGTGTTAGAATCCAGGTGAATGTCCTGCCTTGTAGCAGAACAACTGCCTGTAAACTGAAGGGAGAGTCACAGGCAGAGGGAATCAAATTAAATATGGATTTTCCCATCTAAAACATGTGACTCTGGCACAGTGCTGGGCTCCTTGGGACCTGTATTTCCTCAGGGGCAGCAGTGTTGGAGTACCAGTGGCACTTGTTATTTGTAGTTTCCATTTATTACAAAGCACTGTTATTATTTACAGAATATACTTTTTTATGGACTGTTACTGCATCCAAGTGCAATAACTGGTCTAAGCTCAAATCCCTGGGAGAACTGTTGAAAGAGAAGCAATTCAGACACATATTAATATGACAAGGATTTCCCCAGGTTTAAGGAAATAAAGAATATGTTTTGTACAAGTGAAATAGTTCTTTCTTGCAGTATAAAGCTGCTCTTTTCTGATGATAGCAATGAAAGAATATTGCTTCTGTCACTGATGTCACTGGAAATGTATTGCCCCTCTCCAAGAAGCCAATGAAAGGACATGGCTGGTTTATTCACTAAATGAGGCTACTGAGAAATGCTCTGCTCCTGGCATTAGCCCAGGCACAGTGCTGCTGCTGCTGTTGCTGGGACCTGGCCTGAAGGGAGAGCAAAGGCACCAAGTCAGCAGCTTTGTGCCAAACGGCACAACCCACCTGGAGAGAATCACAGCCCACTTTGAGAAGTGAGCAGAGGAAAGAAATCTGTCCAAATGTCAGATGGAAATGGATCTCTGTCATCTGTCACTGGGCTGGAGCAGGGCTCAGCTGCTCTACAGCACAGCCAGGGTCTGGCCCCTTCTCCTTCAGCAGCTCTGCACCTCGTGTGAAACAAGCTGGAGCCCTGGGAAGGCTGATCTGCACTTAACCTGTGGCAGGGAGCCTGGCTGTGAGGAGAGCTGCCAGCCCCTCTCCTGTCACTGCCATGTTTAATGACCTGGCTCTCCAATGAAGATTTTAGGTTTTGGAAGTAAAATAATGAAATTGTTCTCAAACCAAGATGATCTGTCACTTGAATGTATGCATTCAAGTGAGTGAGCACAGAGAAATTACTGTTTCAGCAGAAGTAAAAATTTCCTGAAAGGCTGAAGTTGATGTTTGTGGTTCCCCTTTGATGCCCGTCGATCTGCAGATCTGACAAGTTCATTTTCCCCCTTCAACATCCTCCCAGACAACACCTCCCAGCTGGGAGGGAAATGGAAAATAAAGTCAATTGTTGCTTCTAACAGGAGTTCATCAAATCCTTAAGCACACAGAGACTGATGGAATAAGAGACTGATGGACTGCTGGGTACCAACACCTGGGCTTGGTTCCCAGCATCTCCACAGGGTTCAGGGCAGTCCTTGCTCCAGGACAAACTAGCACAAGGCTCAGGATGGTTGTGGCTTTTACTGAGCTGAATTCTGGTGGAAATTAGGAAAAAATGTAACAGAAGAGGAGTTGCATCAGTGCAAATGAACAAAATGAGAGCACAGGTAAGTCAGGCATGAGCAGCACTGGCTCTGAAGTGAGCAGCGGGGCTGGGCTGTGACCGAGCCCCTCTCCAGCTCCCTGGCAGTGAGCTCCTACCTCAGATATTTATTGGTTGTGTCAGGAATTAGTGAGAGTTCACTGACTGAATAATAACGTGCCAAAGGCAGTTCTTTGGCTTTGCTAATGTAATTAAAGAAAGCAGGGGGAAAAAAGCCTTGCACCAGGGGTGGAATCAGGGCTTGCAGTGGTGTGAGCGCTGTCTCTATGGCAAGGACAAGATGTGAAATGTGGAGGGGAGAGGGTGAGGATGGCAGTGAGCACCTGAGCAGTGAGGATCATGCAGCTGTGATGGGAGCATTGCTCTTTCCAGAGAAAGACAAACAAGCTGCCCTTGCAATCCAGGAACTGGACACATTTCCAGACTCAGGTTTTATGCTGCTGTGTTTTGCTTTCGTGCCCAAGAACCTTGCAGGAAGACTGGACTTTGTTTCTTTTGGGAGCTTCTCTTGCAGTTCTGAGGAACCTTTCCTAAATGGGGAAACAGCTTTATGGCAACATTTCCTTAATGCTTTTCTGATGACTGAACACATCCAGCAATGTCAGTGCATCAGGACTGAGCATGTTTTTTTCTGCCACGAGAAGAGGGACGGCGTGGGCTCTGTGATAAAAGCCAAGATGCTATTTTTAAACAGGGATGGGGGGAGCTTCGGATGATTTTAAATCAAATCAATGCCTGGACAACAGGGCACTGCTTCCCCCCTGCCTCCACTGCTGAGTTCCTCTTCTGAATCCCAAGGATGTCTCTGACAAACAACCCTCGGCGTCAACAGGATGGAGCTCCCGGGCTGCCGCAGCCACCATTGCCCGTCAGGAGAGCGGCTGGTTTTGCCCCGCCCGGCTCTGCGGGCTGGGACTGCTCCGACCCTCCCCTCTTGGCCATTCCCCAACCTTTTAGTGTCAGCTCCCAACTGTCCCCTGCTTTGGGGAAGTGTCTGCTCCAGTTCTATCCCCTCAAAGCAGTGCTGGGACGCTGAACCCAGAGCGTGTCCCCACTGTCTGGTGGCCTCTGCACCATCCTTGGATGTTGCTCTCCAGCATGGCCAGCAGTGCGTTGGGAAGGGATGCTCGGCAGAGTGCCTTCCTCATGCCATTATTCCAATCTGGATTCTGAGAGAGAGGCGAGATGGGAGGGATCCAAAACCTCAGGCAAAGGAAGAGTTTCAGTGGCTCAATGGCAGGTCAGCAATGACCAGGCAGCCACGACCCCTCTGTTTGCTGCTCCACGGACACACTGGTCTGGCAGCTCCCTCCTGGTGCTGTTTTTATCTAAGTTACTAATTACACATTACCTATATGTCACCAGGCTGATCGATGGGAGCCTGAGGGATCAATACTGATGCAGATGATGGTGCTGCTTGCCATGCAGAGCCTGCACAAGCTGGGACAAACAGGGCACCATCGATCGCAGAGGTGGGCTGGGATGCAGGGAGGGATGGGAGGTGCAATGAGGGGAAAGGATCATGTGCTGCCTTCCTAAAGAACATTGTGACACCGGGACAGCATTCTGGCCAGGGACTGCTGCCCCCAGCCTGCCCCAAACCCTCCACCCATCCTTGCTGCTCTCCCTTGGGAATGGCACGAACAGTTTTAATCTAGGTTGATTTTCAGTCCTTGGGAATTGATACATTTAGAAGGTTCCCACTGATCTGAAAATGAACCATTCTCCTTCCTGTGTCCTTACTGGATGATCAGTGTCTAAAGAACAGACAAAAATCACAAAGTCTCCTGTATTTTACTCTGCTGCTTAACTGACCTAAAGCTGAGGCCATCTCTGTAATGCCACCATGCTGCTGCCAGTAAGAGGGATCTTGGCTGCAGAATGCAATCAAATTTTCCAGGAAGAAGCTCTTGGGACTGCCATGAAACCTGGGATTACAGTGTGGTTAAATTGCATAACTGAGGGTTTCTGCCTGTCTTGCTGGAGCCTTGTGACTGTTCTGATTCTGTTGTGGCACTGCTGGGAAATTGCTCTTTAAAACCAGAAGAACTTTAGAAAGGCACAGGCAGGTCAGGATCATTTCCCTCAGCACTGGGTTTGTCTTAAGTAGTGAGTTGATGGTGGTAAGACTGGACAAAGAGCAGTGTGGGCTGAAAGCAAAACTCTCCCTGAAGGCTTCTTGTGCTCTGTGCCCTCAGCGAGGTTCCAAACTCTGCAGCTCCTCCTGCCAGGCCCCAGAGAGCAGGGAAAGGACCAGCAGCCCTGGGGCCACTGGCAGGTTGGATCAGCCACCCCTTGCCAGCAAAGCAAGAGCCCTTTGCCTGAAGAGCACACAGAGAAAAGCTTCCTAAAAGCAACAACATAATCCTGGCTTTATGGAGGCTTTTAGGGATGAGGGAGGCTGCTCATCCTGCCTGTGAGGACTCGTTCCTAAGCAGCACCAGTGCTGGAACCAGCTCCAGTGCTGGAGCATGGTCACCCATAATCCTTCCCTTAGTACCACTAGCCCCCAAAGCAGAAATCTGCCCAGATTTTCTGTTTGATGGGGTTCACTGAGTTGCAATCTCAGTTTTCATCAGCCTCGCTGCCCTGGGAAGGCCATTCCCATGGGGGTGAGGATGCTCTGGGCTGTGGAGCACAGTCCCTGCTGAAACCTGGCAGAGGCTGCAGGCTCAGGACACTCCTGTAAGGCAGTGCCACTGCTGGGGCTGTGTGGGCTGTGACAGCTCAGAGCAGAGCCTTGGGGCTCCCTGGGGCATCATCACAGTTCCCATGGTGAAGGCAGTGCCTGGCACACTGTGATGGCCCCGTGCTCCTCCCAGCAGCTGCCCCACTGCCACTCACAGAAAAACTGCTCTGAGAGCCTTGCTTGGATGAACTGCAACATCCAGCTGCAAACCAGGACCCCTGAGCAGCACCTGGCAGCCCCCAGAGAGGTTGTACAGGCACTGTCAGCCCTGAAGAACATTCCCTGTGCTTCCCTTTCAGCCCCATGCAGCAGGAGACATTTCTTCCTGGGATTACCTCCTGTTTTTAAAACCCTAGCAAAGAGGCTTTTGCTGAAGGACAACTGGCAGGGTTTCAGCTGTGCCCCCATTTGTCCTCCCTGTCCCTGGGGTCAGCCCCAGGACCCCTCTCCATCAATAGCAATGGGCTGCAGCTGAGGATTGGACCACCCCACACATAAATGGGCCAGCTTGGCTACCTCAGCCTCTTGGGAGGTACTGCCATGCAGGTTTGGGAGGAAGGATCCCCCAGAAATTTCGTTTTAGTGAGCTGACGCCATAAACAGGGAGTGAGCCCCACCTCTAATCTCTCAGAGGCAGCTTTTTCTTTGTAGGGTGTGAGAGCTGAGCAAATGTTCCTTTCTCCTTCCTCCTCTCCCTGTTGCTCATTAACTCTTTCATTAGGGATCATCCTGTTGTCTTTTGTGTGGATATGTTGGGTTTTTTCCTAGGAATGGATGCCAGGCATCAGGACTTGTGTTTTCAAAGTGTGGTGGCAATTAGCCCAGCTCTGAACCCTGGTGGCCTGTCTGCATCTGCAATTAGATCTCTGCTCTGTCTGTCTGAGGTTTTTATCTTCCTCCATTCTGGGGCTGCAGAAGGCACAACTTGGCTCTCCAAATAAATAGCAGGAAAAAGTTAAAACTGTAGCTTGAGCCTTGCTGTGGGGCTGCCCTCAGGATTGGTTCCTGTTTGGTTCAGGGATCAATCCTTGGCCTCTGCACCTGGATTTATGTGAGTGCAGCTCCTCTAGCAAACCTCCCTGCTTGCTCTGCTTTCCTTCCCTCCCCTATCATTTCATCTATCCTAAAATCCCTGTTTTTCTCTGAGATAATGTGATTTTTGGGGAGGAGTTTCTCTCCCTGTCACCTCACTGAAGCTGATTTCTATGGAAAAGCTTCCTCCTAGGGAGGGAGGGGGCAACAAGGAGAGAAATTATGGAGGGGCAGCATTTCTGAATCCAAATACATTAAACCATTTAATTCTGTTGACTCAGGGCTGCTTGGCTCTGAATGGGAATTAATCCACAGTGCACAAAATTAAAAAGCACAAGACAAAATGCTTAGCAGGCAATGCCAGGGTTTAAAGCAACCCATTAGCTTGCTCAAACGTCCCCAGTAAATTTTCATTTGTCAATAACGCTTAGAGCCTACAGTTTATTTACAGCTTGTTCAATATTACCAGAACTCCTGGCAGCTCCTCATTTGTATTTATCTGCCACAGTTGGTTTCCTTTCCAGGGACTCTTCCTAATCCTTTGCTTTGTATCTGCTCCAGACGCAGCAGGGATGTGCCACCCCCCAGGCAAAGGTAATGTGGGGTTACCCTTTTCCACCCCAATTATCCCCTGCAGGGGAGATCTCCTGCAAGGGACCCATCCCTGGAGCTGAGATCTGCCATGGGGCTCCTCCAGCCTCTGTCTCACACCAGGGGCCCCAGCAGAGATGGGAATCTCCAGCCTGGGAGAAGGGGACAGCACAAGCAGCTGTGTGTGGCCCCACAGCCCGGCTGAGCTGGAGCAGCCATGGCTGGAATCTGTCCTGCTCCATCTGTCCCAGATCGGATCCCACGGGATGAGTCCTGCAGAGGAGAGCGTGTAACAGGATTTCCCCCCAAAGCAGCTTGAATGCTCCAGGCAGAGAACAAAGCCTGGCTGGCCCTGAGAATTTCTCCAAGCAAAGGAGTTTATTCTCAGGCACCGACACGAAGGGGCATTAATCTCCTGTCATGGCTCTTGTCCAGCTGGGAGGTTCGGTCCAACACTCGGGGATGTGGCTCCCTGCAGGGGTGACAAGTCTCCAGTGGGGTTTGTCCCTCCCCAGCTTCCTGCCCTCTCCCTCTGCACTCCCCCGAGGCAGAAGCAAAGGCAATTGCAAAGGAATTTTAAGTGGATGCAGCATCCCCAGGGCTGCCTGGGGAGATACAGGACAGGCTGGGCAGCCCTGTCAGGTGTAAAGCCCAGGGAGGGAAATCCCTCCAGAGGCTTAACAACAAAGATGGAACTGGGCACTTCACAGGGAGCATCTGCTGGACCCCAGAAGGTGCAGCAGCACCCTGCCAGCAGAAAGGCTGGTCTCACCACAGCCTCCTGTCCTACACAACATCCTGAGCTGGGGGCAGAGAGGGGGACCTGCAGCCCAGGCTCTGCCACAGACCCGTGCGTGGTTGGAGATGATGTCCAATAGCTTTTGTGCTGAATGCAGGAAGCAATCACTAAACTGAAGAGCCTCTTGCATTTCTCCCACCCTTGGTTAGAGCTTGCAAGCTCCTCATGCTGCTGAGCTCCAAGATGCCATGCCAGGACACCCCATCTTTCCCCCCCAAAGAGCAAACCCATCACTTGCCTGCTGCTGTCTGCATGTAGCCAGCCAGGGTGCAGACTCGGCGCTCGCAGGCTCCGCCGGGCAGCACGACAGCGACGATGGCCAGCAGGGAGCTGAGGGCCAGCAGGGCACAGCCGCCTGCACACAGCACAGCGCTCGTCTGGAAGGACACAGGGGACTGTCAGAGAGGTCACCCCACCACCACGCCCCCCAGAAATCCCCCTCTGGAAGTGGGGAGTGGAACCCTGTCATGGGTTTTCCCTTCCACCTTTTGTTGCGTCAATTCGCGGCTCAGTCCTGAGCCCCAGGCTCAGCCATGCTCTGCTCCCAGGGGTCACTGGCACTGGGGCTGCAGTGACAATTGCAAGTGCATGACTGCACGAAGGGCCACGTCCTGAGACCAGTGCCATTAGATGTGTGTGATGTGTCAGTGCTGAACGCTGAAATGGATCCCAGGGCAGCACTGCCCCAGCAGGCCTGGCAATGAGCAGGCATTTTGGGGATCCCGCTGCTGCTCTCGCTGCAGCTCTGCTGACATGGCAGGCTGCTCCCACCCCAGTATCCTAAAAACGGGGAAAAGCATTAATTCATGGCAAAACAGCTCGCCCTTGGGCACAGGTGTTCAGTCACTGACTGCTGCTGTTTCTGTCCTCATTGCAGGTGACAGTGGATGGCAGTGGCAGCAGAGTGGCCTGTTCCAGCAGGGACACTGCCAGCCCAGCCAGGGGCATGGCCAGGGGCAGAGAGGGGACCTTCCTCCTCCAGCACCCAGCTGGTGACAGCGCTCAAACAGCGTGAGGACACCTCGAGCCCGGCTCTGCAGCAGCCATGTCAACTCCTGTCACTTCCCAGCACATTCCAGGGAATGCTGCTGGCTCTGGTGAGTCACCCTGCAGTGCCACCCTCCTCAGCTCCCTGGAGCAGCACAGCTCCAAGGCAGGTCTCACTCCCATCTCCCTGCAAAGCCTGGTTTTTATAACCTCTGTGGGAGCTGCTCTGAGGAGGTCAGGTCCCACTCCCAGCCTTGTCCAGCCCTCTTGTCCTGGAGAGACATTATGGTCAGCAGTGCCCAGTTTGCCTTTTTTATCTTCCCCCTCTACCTGAGCTTTTGTGCAGCCATGGTTATTACAGAAACAGCTTTCCATTTCCCTCCCCTTCCCAAAGAGATTACAAACACTCTGCTACAGATAATTTATTCTGCAGAAACCACAGGCAGGCTGAGCAGGGGAAGAGGAATTTGATTTACCTGGGATGCCCATGGGGGGTCCCAGCAACTAAAATCCCCCTCCCATCAGTGGTGCTGTCCCACAGGTCTGGCACTGCCCTTCGTCCTCCTCTCTTCCTGACTGCTGAGCTGGAGTTCAGCAGCTGGACTGGCTGGTGCTGGGTGGCACTGGCACTGCCAGCTGTGTCCCAGCAGCTGCCACTGCTCCAAGAAGGGACACACTGGTGCTGGAGAGGGACAGGCCAGGCACCACCTGACACCCTGGAGTGAGTGCTTCTCCTGAGGCTGTGCAGTGATTAGAAATCAGCATCTTATTTATAGCCTATTTATGCACTGAGCAATGCAAATGCTGTCCCAGCAACAAATGAATTCCTGACATGCAAAGCAAAAGGAACAGCAGTGCAAAAACTACCCAGGGAAATGGAGAGGCTGCTCCAGCAGGGAAATCTGCTCCTCTCCAGAGCCTTCCAAGGCTCTGAGACCTGGACAGACAAGTGCTGCTTCAGGGCTTCAGACACAAAGACCCTGCCCTGTCCCTACTCCAGGAGGGACCCATGGGGTTTTGGGTGAGGTGGGATGGGATGGGATGGGATGGGATGGGATGGGATGGGATGGGATGGGATGGGATGGGATGGGATGGGATGGGATGGGATGGGATGGGATGGCCCCATTGCACAGACATTCTCCCAGCCTGGGGCCCCATGGGGAAAGCAGCCACAGTCCTGCTCCCCCACTGCTCCCAGGGCAGCAGCACGGCCAGGAAATCTGGATTCATAACAAAAAAAAGGATTACTCTGCCTGGCGTCTGTATTCCACCTTCCGCCCAGCGAAACCATCCTCCTTTGCAAGGATCATTAATTATTTAGAGCAATGAATTTTTCAGCAGAAAGGGGTCTTGTGAAGCAGGCTGGTTCCTCTCTTGTGTGAATCATATTATTTTTAATGATCTAGGTTCTCCTTAATTGTGATGGCTCAAATCCCCTAAAAACTCACAGTTCCTGCTGGAAACAACTGATGAGCTGCTCAGACTGTTAATCCCTGTGGAGAAGTGTGAAGGTCTTTTTTCAGGACAAAGTGACAGGAAAAAGGCACAAACAGGCTGGGTGCAGGTGAGTTAAACTGGCAAAAGAGCTGGTCTGTTTTGGGAGCTGCCAGCAGGGTCTGGCAACAAGACTGAGGGGTCTCAGGGCTGGCAGCGTCCTGAGGTGCCAGGGGTGGCCAAAACCCCACCAAATCCAGCCAGGCTGTGGCAAAGGGAACAAAGGTCTCATGAATAAATGGGAGAAGATTCATGTGGCAATAGAGGAAGGAAATGGTGAGGTTTGGGTTCTGCCATGTGGGCCAGGAATGCTGAGCCACTGAACAGCTGCCAGGCAGCTCTTGGGGGCAGAAGGAGTGGCAGGAGCACAGCTGCCCCAAAAGTAGGTGACAATAGAAAAGGACACAGCACTGCTCTTTGCCTGGCTCCCACATTCTTCTGGCTGTGTGCTGACATTACCTGCCAAAACACTGCATGTGCTCTTGGAAAACAGAAATTTTGCTTTTGTCATAACCTTTCCATGGCCTCAGCTGGGAATTTGTGCTCCTATCATGTACTGGATTTGCTCCTGCAAAGATTAAAAAGCTGCTTTCAAAGAGAAATAATAAGGTTTAAGTTTGAAGAAGTCCATGGAGCAAAGGTAGCAAAGAATAGCAGCTGCAATTCTCTCCTTCCCACTGTGCAGTACCTCCCTCTCTCCTCCCTGCTTGTGCCTGTTGCATCTTGAGCAGAAAGGAGAGGATGCAGGAAACAGATGCAAGGGCTGAAACCCAAAAACAGACAGGGTGGGGAGGAACAGCAGGGATGCAGGAGGCTGCCTGGGAGAGCCCTGCTCAGGCAGGGCAGGAAAAAACCCATTTATCCCAGTAAAGAGCACAGCTCCCAGTGCAAACCCTGCCAGGGAGGAGCAGGAAAAA